TTAAAGGAGAACTAACTAAAAGTAAAACAATTCTAAGTTATGTTGTATACAGCTGGCATTAAAACTCTTTGTTTTATATAAAGGTGATCATGGTACCATTATGGGACTGATTGACAAAGATATAGCTCCAAATTATAAAGAATTGGCTGTAGAATTCTGTATCCCTCAGGGTACAGTAGACACCATAGCCTACAATAACAGAAACAACTCAGCATGGGATGGACTAAATGATGTTGTTGCTGATTGGCTGAGAGGAAATACTGAAGTGTATGATGAAGGAGTTACAGCTAATGTAAGGTGGCTGTATGATGCTGTCAGAACAATAAATAAAACACTTGGAACAAAAATTGCCAAAGGTATTTCCTTAAAATTGAGTTTCTTAATTTTGCTTTGCATCCAAAATCTTTTTATAGAGTTCGGGATTCCAGAGCAAAGTGATTCGTCCACTCAAGAAGGTAAGATAACAAAAGACAATAAATATTCATCAATCACTTGATCATATCATTTCATTTCTATAGCAGACAAAGGAGGCTTGAGCCATTTTGCAAGTAGTGCTGGAAAAGAAGAAACTGATTTAAGGTAAATAATACCCTGAAAATGAACAATTTATTGTAATGTTCTTGTGTTTATAGAGAACCACTTGGTAGCACAGGAAGAAGTAAAAGTGACGATCAAAGTATGTTAGAATAATAGGTCTACTAGTAATGTCGTTAATACTAAATAATAATTACTAAAATAATACTGAAGTATTGATAATCATCAGCCTGCTTATTGTTCATGATGTACCAAGAGTAGATAATACTTAGAAGAGAGTGTCCTGCTGGCTATAGGGTCTGCTTCATCACCGCGTAGAATTGAAGAGTCACATTCAGGATATTTCTGTATTTTTATTGAGTTTGAGTACCTTAAAGCCCAACATCCATTAGGCAACTTTGTTGAAATCAACAGAAATTTTGTTGCCAAAAGTAGAACACTGTTCTACTTTTGGTAACAAAGTTGACATACATCAAAGTAACCACAAAGTTGCTTTCAACAAAGTTGCCATGGTGGATGTTGGGCTTAAGGAGACAATTGTTTGCGGGTATTTAATTTAGCGAATTTTAGCGATTTTTAAAAAATCGCTAACTTAAGTCCGCGCTAATTTTAATTTCTAGTTCTTCATTTAAAGTGGGTGTGGTCACAATGAATAAAATGGCGGTCGTCAGCAAGCCTGAGCTTATTTGCAGCAAACTGAGCAAAGGATCAGCAAGATAATACTCTCTAGCAGTTAGCCTAGGTTAACAAAGCAGATGACAGTCTTCTTTGTTCCGTGACTGCTTCTAACTGTAAGCAAGACTACTTTACATTTTAATGGCTGCAGAGTCAGTGATGAAGCAATTTAAGCAAGATTAATGCAACAAGATCTACTGTATTAGTGTATTTAGACTTGTGCAATTGCTTTGCTTGCTCATACATGTAGATCACAGCACATAATCTGTAGCTTGCTTAGGCTTGCCCCTTTCATTCTTCTAAAAGTTATTAATATCAAATGATCAAAAATGCTAAATTAAGTACCAGCCAAATGTTAGTTTCATGAAAATCGCTAAAATAAGTACACGCTAATAATTGTCTCCTTAAGGTATACTATGTCCCAACTGAGAATGGACCGGAAGTGGAAGCAGCTGCATTGGAATTTGAAAAATGTAGCTACGTCACTAATGACGTGTTAATGACGTTAAATGTTAATGTGTTAAAGAGTTTACTTTGAGTAACAATAATAACTAAACCATTCTTATATTAATAGGTTATACTTCTTATGATATAACTACTCCTTTTGAAAGTACAGAAAGTGAAGAGAAAGTTTATAAAAATTTAAACGACTTACATCGGAGCTTTTTAAATTTAGCTCAAATTTTTAACAAGTCATTGCGAGAAAAATTATATCACAATAGTCACTTAGCTACTGATGTATCTGAGTGGCTTGTAGAATACATGGAGTGGGAGCATGGCTCAGTTGATAACAATATTGATGATATCTTAAGGAAGATCCGACCTTATTATGACTTTATTGATTGTCAATTGTTATTGGAGATGAGCAAAAAGTTCCTACCAAGCGTAACATTCACTGATGGTGGAGTAACTTATAAACTAGTTGATGAATTAGACAGCCATAATCGTATTAGTAAGAGGCTGTGTACATCAGAAACAGTTTCTACACTCCAAAAGTTACTGGAGGAACGCTATGAGCCTTTCAATAGAAAAATGGATAATCTACCTTATATTGAAATACACCTTCAAACACCCTGGAATTACATAAGTATACAAAGATTATACAAACTTATTGCAAAGTTACTGCCTCTAAAATACAGCCAGCTAGAATACAAGCAGTCAATTATTGAACATATTACAATAAGAAGTAAATGTGTTGTCATCAAGCTACATATTCTTGACTTCACAGCTGATAGTCTAATAGAATGTACTGGAGGAAAGTTACAGTTTATGCGCCTCATTGGTATATTTAGTTTATACATTAATGATCATCCTGTCCTTCAAGAAGATGAGAATATGAACTTCACCTTTGAACTAGCTCTCCTTGAGGCAGTCACAGCTGGTAATAATGAAGCAGTAGAGTTTCTTCTTCAACTAGAAACTGTTAATATTGATCATACTAATGAAGA